TTTGTTCAGACTTTTATATCTGCACAAAGGGAATAAATGTCCTTTTGTGTGACATTGTTTGTCCTGTGTGTGTCTCCTAATGATGTGTCCTCAGGTGTGAATCCAGCAGCGTCTCTCACAGTGAGTCCTCACAGACTGCAGCACTTCAGCACAGAGTCACTGTCACTGATCTGTGAGAGAAACTCTGCTGAGTGGAGAGTGAAGAAGGCTGATGAAGATGGCAAGAGGTCAATCTGTTCTAACTGGGGAGAAATGACTGGATCCACATGCAACACCAACGCTAGAGCGAGTAGTGGAGTGTACTGGTGTGAGTCTGTAACACAGTCCAGCAATGCAGCCAACATCACTATACACAGTGAGTTTATATTCATTTAAAGGTTTTTATATCTAAAGTATTTACACATCTTATTACAGAGTGCTGACATTTTTAAGGTGACTTCATGATGAGTTTAACTCAATATTTATTTGAACAAACGATTCAACAATCTTAGTTTAAAAATCCCTGATATCTTGTATCATTTAATTAAAAGATTTCCAACCATCCATAAACTACTTATCCTGCACACAGGGGGGCTGGAGTTTATCCCGGCCAAGTTTGGGCGATAGACAGGGTTCACCCTGGACTGTTTGCCAGCCAATCACAGGGCTAACACAGAAACACAACCATTCACACACCTACAGGCAATTTAAAGTTACCGATCCACCTGATCCCCAACGCATGTCTTTGGACTGTGGGAGGAAGCTGGAGTACCCAGAGAGAACCCACACAGACACAGAGAGAACATGCAGACTCCACACAGAACCACTGGGCGTAGTCGAACCAAGGACCTTTTTGCTGTGAGGCGACAGTGATAACCACCACACCACCGTGCCGCCTTTGAACTGATTTAGTAAAGCAAAGAAGTAACTGTTCCACAGACACAGATGTGATCCTTTAACTCCTGCGTCCTCCTTGTATGAAGGAGAATCAGTGACTCTTCACTGTCGACATGGAGACCAGAGAAAGGAGAAGAATGCTGACTTCTACAAAGACAAAACACTTATTGAGATGGACACAAACCATCAACACACACATGAAATCACCATTTCTCTGATGTCTGATGGGAGCTCTTACAAGTGCAGATTTAAGGACAAAGAACCTGAAATAGAATATTTGAAATGTGAGATTAGTTACTATGTTTAAAGACATTGTACCCAAACACCTGTTTAACACATGAAGACAGATAAAAAGATGGAGGACATCAGCAGTGACAGTAATCCACCAAGGACTCATCATAACACGTCTTTATTCTGTCAAACCTCTTTCCAACAGATGTCCCTCGTCCTGTCCTCACAGTGTCTCCATCATGGACGAGTCCTGGAGACTCAGTGACTCTGACCTGCAGTGTTGAACCTCCGTCTGCAGGATGGAGGTTCTTCTGGTATAAGGCTGTTCCCGAAGGGTCAATCGCCTACACCTATGAGCTTCTAGCTGGTGGCACCACTGGGACTGAACAGGATTCCTACATTCTTCATGGACAGACACACACAGCAGGATATGCGTGCAGAGCTGGAAGAGGAGATCCTGTGTCTTACACTCAGTATAGTCGTGTGAAGTTTGTCTGGTCTGGAGGTGAGTTTGTTCAGACTTTTATATTCTTGCACAAGGGAATAAATGTCCTTTTTGTGTTGACATTGTTTGTCCTGTGTGTGTCTCCTAATGATGTGTCTTCAGGTGTGAATCCAGCAGCGTCTCTCACAGTGAGTCCTCACAGACTGCAGCACTTCAGCACAGAGTCACTGTCACTGATCTGTGAGGGAAACTCTGATGAGTGGAGAGTGAAGAAGGCTGATGAAGATGGCAAGAGGTCAATCTGTCCTAACTGGGGAGAAATGACTGGATCCACATGCAACACCGACGCTAGAGCGAGTAGTGGAGTGTACTGGTGTGAGTCTGTAACACAGTCCAGCAATGCAGCCAACATCACTATACACAGTGAGTTTATATTCATTTAAAGGTTTTTATATCTAAAGTATTTACACATCTATTTACAGAGTGCTGACATTTTTAAGGTGACTTCATGATGAGTTTAACTCAATATTAATTTGAACAAACGATTCAACAATCTTAGTTTGTTGCAGTATCATTTCTCTGTATTTTCCAACACGTCTTTGTGGTTTACTTTCCTCTCTATGACCATTGACATCCACCATTGACTTTAAACCAGGAGGAGCTGTAGAGTTATCTGCTCACTTTGTACCTTTTAGACCATTCTGTAGCTCACTGCCACTAAGTGGACATTTGTCTCCCGACATATTGAGCATTAATTAAAGATGTAACTGTGAGCATGTACGTCACCAAAGGGCCGTCTCTTCCATCCATGAAATGCAGCTATTCGCTCAGCTACTGTGTGAATGTGAATAACAAATGTAAACTATAAATGTCTTCTTCTCATTGTTCATCAGCTTGTTTGACTTCCTGTCCTCTGGTCTCTTTACAGGTGGTGATGTCATCCTGGTGAGTTCTGTCCATCCTGTGACTGAGGGACATTCCGTCACTCTTGGCTGCAAGTTGAGGACAGAAAACCTTCTTTATAATGTGGATTTCTATAAAAATCACAAACTCATCCCAAATCCTGTCAGAGGGGAGCTGCTTATCTCTGCAGTTACTAAGTCAGATGAAGGCTTTTATAAATGTAGAGGAAGGAAATCACCTCAAGGTTTGGAGACTTTGACCTCAGCAGAGAGCTGGTTGTCAGTGAAATGTGAGTACGAGTTTTGTAACATGTGTTACAGTCTGAGTGAGAAAAGGTGTCACTGAATTAGAAGTTATCTTAAGATAAACTATTTGTTTGTGTGAGACAATATAGTTTTAAAGATGTTCATGTTCAAAAACACATAATATTAGAGATGTAACATGAGCAGCAGTGAAAGGTGAATGTTGTGCGATCAAGGGTTCATGTTTGTGTATTTGAGTGTGTGTGTTGTAGTACTTGTTTAGCACTACAACACATTAGTACCTGTGTTTTTACTAGTTTTACTTTGTTTTAAGTATGTTTTTCTGGCTCTGTGACACTCTGAGATCTGTTGATGAAGAGTGTGTTATAAATAAACTGTATTATTGTTACTTGTGTATCTCTTCATGGTTGGTGTGTACTTGTGTGTAGATCCTGAAGAAGCAGCATCAAGCTCTGTGTTTCTCGTGTCGTTGGTTGTTGGTCTGGTTTCTGGAGTTTTACTGATTATTCTCCTGCTGCTGTTTCTGCGTCGCTACAGAAAGTCAGAAGGTGAGATCTTTTCCTTCTGATATCAGACTGATTTCACTGAAATAAGTCAAAGTCACAGATATTATTACACACTAATTAATGATCAATGTGAAACCTTTTTCTTGCAGCTTCAAGCCTCAGCAGGTTGGTACAAGCCTCTCTTCTCTCACTCTGAACATGGCAGCAGGACTTTACATGTTCCTCATTAAATCCTCTGTATTTACTTCATGTTTTGGACCCACAAGGTCTCAGAGGACCAATCAGAGCCCAGCTACAGACCACATGATCAACCAGGGTGAAACTAAAGACGGACATTACGCTTCTCTTCTTCATGGTCAGCTTTAATCCTCATCACACAGCTGTTAGAAATACTAGAATTAGATGATTCAAAGTCAATGCAAACTGTCTTGAATCAAACAAGATTCATAATTTCAGATGAATCCAGCCTCCCGTATTCTGTGGTTGAGCTCAAACACCTTAAAAAGAAGGGTAGGTGATTTACTTTGTATAGTGAGAATCACCTTTGACAGCTGAGATGATTTTGTTCTTCTCATCAAAGTTCTTCATGTGGTCTTTGTGACAGAGAAGCACGATGAACCAGACGAGAGCCCCGTTTACTCGGATGTGAGGATCCCATCAGCTGCAGGTACAGTCAACGCCAACACAGCTTCTAGTATTTAACAGGTGCTACCTGCTCTAGTTTAATACGTTCATACGTCGTCCAACGTGGCCAATGTCAACAATATACACATCCTGCATACAAGTACACAACAAAGTACACAACAGACTTTAGACTGAAATTTGTTGGTCATTTAAATAATTTGTTAATTAGAAATGATGACAATACTGTGCAGTCGTGAATCAAACATGAGGGGGATGCCATATTTAATTGATTTATTTTTCATTTTTCCATTTATTTTTCTTATTTTGGGTTTTACATCTCTGAGGACGACGTATATCAGTACATTATTTTTTTAAACTAGAGCACTACTGGCAAACATGCAAAAATAAGATCTTTTCATTGGTAGGAAAATCCAGATGTGCAGCAGAAGAGGAAACTCTTTATTCTGAAGTCAAACCCAGGAACATCTGGTAATGAAGCCGTTTATCAAGCAGATTATTTCACATAATTAAACGTCATAAAGCACCTATGAGCTCATCTTAAATAACCGTTATTGTTTTTTTTCTTTGTTTCTCCTCCAGATCAATAAAGACGTCCGTGTGGACAAAACCACCGACATGAAAAACAATCTCTTCAGGATATAAGATGTGTCCTTAAACAGCTACAGAGCAGACAGCTTGGTGCTCTGTGGAAGCCTCTTCCCTTGTTGTAGTCTGCTTTGGATGGATGAGGTTCTGGTTAAAAAGGATCATGTGATCTTTGCAGGTTTCTTCATCGTATCCAGAGAGGTAGAGTCCAAAAAAAGAGCGTTGATCTTTCTTTCCCCGATACGTTAGCGTAGCATAGAGCCGTGATACTTCCCCCGGGGACACGAGAACCCTTCATCTCATGGAGCCATTTGATTATCTGACAAACAGTTTTAGGTTTGTGAGGTTGTTTTTGTTGCTGCTTATTATATATTATAATTACAGTCTGCTGAGTGCTACTGAAATTCATTTTAAATGTTAGATATAGTCTGAAGTAGCATAAAGTCTTTTGCTTGCATCCTTAAATCCCTATAATACTTTTTTTCCAGTAAAAGTGGATAAATAGAATCTCACATGGAGTGTTTGTCTCTTTTCTGCCTGAGATTGTATATTTTTTCCTGCATACTTACAGACGTCTGGAGATGTCAGAAGACTTTTAGTGCTGCAAAAATAATGGATCCATTTCAAAGGGAATGTTAGCAACTGATGTCTGTAAGAAAGCAAACATCAAAAGCTTTAAGACTAATCAGCAAACTCCTGCCATCCTTCTTCATCGTACTGAGAGATCTAAATATGATCTATTAGTTACTCAACACAGCTTTGTTATGGAGAACTGAACTCAATTGAAAACATTAAATTCCCATTAAGGGATTTTTCTCCTCGAAAAAAACTGCAGATTTTCCAATAAAATCCACTAAAATACCATTTAATATCATCCACCTTGGCCGAGTTATTCTTAACACGGAGGCTATTTCTACATGTGATTACTTTAAGGTGCCTCGATTGATAAATAAGTCCCTTTCTGCACTTTCCTGACTTTGAGAGAAAGAAATGTTACTAATCACAAGCTACTATGGGAACTCTGGATTATTTAACCAGATGAAAGTGTATCTTTCTGAATATTAAAAAATGCAGATTTATCTCCCATTCTACATTATGAGGGTTGTTTTAATCACAGCTGTGGGTCAATAAAGCGAACCAATGACTTAATGTCTGAACATGTTTGTTGTTGTGGAATGAAAATCCAAGCTGCCTATTCTCTGGTGGTATTTCCTTGTGCCTACATTACCCAGAATGCAACCTGACCATTCACAGTTCTGTTGGAGAGCTGTTGTGCTATTAGATGCTAATGCTAATGTAGCCTTGAGCTGCTCAAGCAGAGATGAGAAGAAGGTTCAGTAAATGTGAGCAAATCCTTTTCAACAACCTCCCGTGTGTTTACTCGTTCTCTTTATGTAGCGTAAAAGGGAACGTCACAAAATCAACACAGAAATTCAAATATTAAAAAAACGAGGAGTGACAGACTTTTTATTTTAAAGCAAAACGTAAGATAACGAATGATGACTTTGCAAACTGGGAAACACAAAGTAGAGTAAAGTAGATGGGTGGGAGTAAGAAGTGATGCTTTGGCGGCTTTCTAACACGACGCTACTTTATCTGCTGGAGTAACAAGAGAAACTGCATTGAAAAAATACACACAAAGGGAAATGTCAAGAGCAGAATGTTATAAATATCTTTCCCCATAAATATTGCTGAAAAGGCAACAGAAAATGGCTTTAATCATCCAGATCTGAGCTGATATTTAAGAACAATAAGCAAACAGCAGTATTGTGTGTGTGATCGTTCATGCTAAACTAAGTCAATAAATAAATGAATACATACATCCATAAGGTTCAGTACCTATTACTTCAAATCCTTTTCTCATGCATTATTAGTAAAAATAATCATTCAGTACGTAAGGAGGTAAAAAGTCATCCAACACAAATAACCAGTGGCTCCTTATTAAAAGATCCCAGAGTTTCGATGAGCTTTTTGGGGCGACTGAAGCAAACTCCTAAAAATTCCCTCATCTGACCAAACGGCCGCTTTCTGGAATCTGGAGACACGGACGAAACTCGAGTACCGTTCAGCCTGTGGGGAAACCTTCTGCGTCACCGCATCGAGATGACGAAGAGGTGACGCACGTGATGGAGGGAGGTTTTGGATCAGGTGAAAGAGAGAGACATCTGTTGTGTCGCGGACTCGACAAACACGACAAAAGGATCGGACAGGAGACTCGGTAGAAAAGTAATGCGTGTGTGTTTAATGGACGTTGCGTGACACAAACAAATACCCCGCATCCAGTGCCGGTTCCCTCTTTTATATGGATGCCCCGTAGGGACAAACTTACGATCAATACACAACATCCCTCCCCCTTTACTTTTAACTTCCCCAACCATGCAGACGTAAACAATCTCTTCTTAGTATTATCACAGCCCCTCTGCTTTAACAATCGTACCCAATTACCTTTAACAGATACCCAAAAATAACCTTCCCCTGAACTAGGGAAAGAGGGTAGACTACCTCCATTCCCAGACTTGACCCTGGGGGGTATTCTGCCCCAATGTTGGAGGTTAGTCTCGTCGCTACATGTTCAATCTGTCCGGGGGTCGTCGTTCTCTTGTGGGGTACCGACGAAGTACGGGTAAGTCTACTATTCCACTGTCACTGGGTCTGAGTGGTGATGGTGTAAGTCCCTGCGGCGGTGCGTCAGCACCTTGAGTCGGCACACCCCCTGGTTCAGGTGAGGAGGGAACACTTTCCCTGTCTTTGTGTTGCGGCAGTGAACGCTCAGATGATGGCTGAAACCCTGGAAGGCTTCCAGTAGCTGTTCTGGGTTTGTCATTTGACCTGAGTCATCACTGAGGTTGGTGCCTGACAACAGTTGATCTACATGTCTCCTCCAGATGATGTTCTCTGGTGTTTGGACCGTGTAGGACACTGGACCTGTTTGAGCGACCACTGTTGCTTGTACCCACTTTGGACCGTTACGGTAGTTCCGAACAAGAACTCTCTCTCCAGCTCTGAAGCTTCGGTCCTTTACTTTGTTCCGCCTCTCCACCTGCGCTCTTTGTTGTGTCTGTACGGCCTGCTTAACCTTTGGAGGTCTCAGAAGGTCGAGTCGTGTGCGAAGCTGTCTTTTCATCATGGCTGACGCGGGGGCCACCTTGGTTGTAGCATGCGGGGTGTTTCGGTATGTCAACAGAAAGGTGTTTAGGCGCCTGTTAAGCGATCCGTTTCCCTGCGATGATTTTAGAGCCTGCTTCATCGTCTGCACAAATCTTTCCGCTAGGCCGTTTGTGGCAGGGTGGTACGGCGCTGACTTGATGTGTTGGATTCCGTTTGCTTCCATGAATGACTGGAACTCTTCAGACACCAGTTGCGGCCCGTTATCACTAACGAGTTGAGTGGGCAATCCAAAACGACTGAAGATTGACCGTAGCTCTTCGATGGTTCTCTCCGATGAAGTGCTCCTCATTATGGCGACCTCTGGCCATTTGCTGTGTGCGTCCACTACAACTAAGAACATACGATCCTCCAATGGACCTGCAAAGTCTATGTGGACTCTCTGCCATGGTTCCTCTGGGAAGTCCCACGGGTGTAGTGGCGCTAGCTGTGGCATGTTTCTCATCCTTTGACATGCGGTACAGGATTTTGCTTTGTCTTCAATAGCTGCGTCTAAGCCTGGCCACCAAAAATAGCTGCGCGCTATCTCCTTCATTCGCACCATGCCACAGTGCCCTGAATGGAGTTCCTCAAGCACCTGCTTTCTAAGTGGCGGCGGAATGATGACTCTATACCCCCATAACAAACATCCAGCCTGGACCGTGAGCTCGTTCCTCCTCCCCAGGTAAGGCTTTAGACTGACCGACATCTCTCCGCTTCTCCCACAAGTGACAATGTCCATGACCTCAGCCATCACCGGGTCCGTGCGGGTGAACTTCTTCACGTGGGCTGAGGTAACTGGGGCGTTGCTCACTTCCTTAAAGTAAAAGATTTTGGCCTGGGAGTGCTCCCTGTGTGTGACAGGTAAAGGAAGCCTTGAGAGGCCGTCTGCATTACAGTGCTGATCAGCTTTTCTGTATTTGATGTCGTACTGGTGGGCGGACAACAACAAGGCCCATCGCTGCATCCGGCTGGCAGCGAGCGATGGTATTCCAGTGTGAGGACCAAAAATGGAAGTGAGTGGCCTATGGTCTGTGAGTAACATGAATCGCCGTCCGAACAGAAACTGATGGAATTTCTTTACTCCGAATATTATCGCAAGTGCTTCACGCTCGATCTGTGCATAATTGCGCTCTGCTTTGCTTAAGGTCCGTGATGCAAAAGCAATAGCCTTTTCTTCACTTGATGGCATTATGTGTGAGATCACCGCCCCCACACCATAAGGTGATGCGTCACAGGCCAACTGTAATGGCCAGGCAGGATTGAAGTGGGTGAGGGCTTCTGAATGGACCAAAGCTCTTTTAGCTTCCCTAAAAGCTTCCTCACATCTGTCCGACCACTTCCACTGTGTGGTTTTGTTCAAAAGCTCATGCAGTGGTTTTAGCAGGTTCGATAAATTCGGTACAAACTTTGCATAGTATGTCAGTAATCCCAAGAATGATCGCAGCTGACTCACATTTTGTGGCGACGGAGCTTCCTCGACAGCTTTCACCTTGGATGGCGCCTTGTGCAGCCCAGCACCGTCGATAATGTGGCCCAAGTACTCAACTGAAGACTGGAAAAACTCACATTTGGCCGTCCGGACCCGCAGTCCGTACTCCTCCAGTCTCTGTAGTGCCGCGTCCAGGTTTCTCAGGCGCTCCTGTTCGTCTTTACCGGTTATGAGTAGATCATCGAGGTAACACTGGACCCCCGTGAGCCCACTCAGTATCTGGTCCATAGCTCTCTGG